CGTAGGCGCTTAGAATATATCCTAAGTTCAGTTGCATGAGTGTCAAAAAACCACATGTTCCCACTTGATATGTCACATGTTAGTCAAAGCGATAAGTATTTTGTTTTATCTTTTGTCTCATCAAACTGTAGACTTGTACGAAGTATTGAATGGTCAATAGATGGGGGCAAACCCTTATGAAATATGAGCTTCTTTGACAGTAGGCTTGAAGTGTTTAAATTCAGACAAATATGCAAGTTGAAGTATTTGAATCCTCTATATATACAAGTTGAAGTCTTCAAATCCGACAAAGTAATATGATAAGTCCTACAAGTTTGCATCTTAGACTCTTAAATCAACCAAGTTACAAGTCACTGTCTTCGAATTCTATGAATTTACAAGTTAAGACCCTAAAACTTGTTACGAGTTAAATTCCACAAAATTGATAAGGCAAGTTTGAATGTGCAAACTAAAAAATGTGGAACTTGCACTATATTCATTCTTATTGGCATGCAGAATATGGAATGACTTTGAATTACTAAAAGCTTGGGACCTTGTAACGCCTTGAGAGTAGTATTTTTTTTCAAGGCGGGGACGTTAAACACATTATTCTAGTAAAGCCTCAAGTTGGTTAAGTATTCGGGACCTTGTAACGCCTTGATAGTAGTATTTTTTTTTTCAAGGCGGGGACGTTAAACAAAATATTCTAGTAAAGCCTCAAGTTGGTTAAGTATTCAGGACCTTGTAACGCCTTGAGAGTAGTATTTTTTTTCAAGGCGGGGACGTTAAACACAGTATTCTAGTAAAGCCTCAAGTTGGTTAAGTATTCGGTACCTTGTAACGCCTTGAGAGTAGTATTTTTTTTCAAGGCGGGGACGTTAAACACAGTATTTATTCTAGTAAAGCCTCAAGTTGGCTAAGTATTCGGGACCTTGTAACGCCTTGAGAGTAGTATTTTTTTTCAAGGCGGGGACGTTAAACACAGTATTCTGGCACCTTATGCTTAAGTATTCGGGACATTGTAACGCCTTGAGAGTAGTATTTTTTTTTAAGACGGGGTGTAACGCCTTGAGAGTAGTATTTTTTTTCAAGACGGGGACGTTAATCACAATATTCTAGTAAAGCCTCAAGTTGGTGATCTTCAAGGCGGGGACGTTAAAAGCATCTCTTCACACCTCAAAATCAAACTCTTGTGTTGTGATAAAGCTCTCCATTGTTTAGCCTCCGCAAAAGACAAATATTATTTATGTTTGTCTCTGAAAAAAAAAAAAAAAAGAGGAGGAAGAACACACAAAAAAAAAATAGAACAAAGCAAAAAAAAAAAAAAAAACTTGATACCTGCTCGTGGAAGCTCCAATGATCTGCAAAAGGGAAGTATGCAATTGTTGAATATTGAGAATGAAAAGGACAATAATAACAGGCCTGTATTTATAGAGGATAAGTGGGGGTGAGAAATCCTTTTCCTATGTCAAGTATAATTCCTCTTTAGTTGGAATTCTATTTGAAGTATATTTGGATTTAAAATCCTTTTCCTAATTTAATTATAATTCTTTTGATATAAGAATACGAAATTGAGTTGGATCAGAATTGCTAATTCAATTATAATTTACCAAGCGGCAATTCTTAAAGTCAAGAAAGAAAAGGATTTGCGGTAAATTGCCTCATATCTGTTGACAGCAAGGCGGTGCCTTTGGCACAATTCAAATTGAATAAGGAATATGTATATGTGGCTCCCAATTCGAGTAAAATAGGGAGAGTATACATGAGGCCCACATATTTGCACGAGATCAAAAGATCATTGGCAACACCTTATATGATTTGGATATTATTATATATATACATATATAATAATGGTAAATATACATTGAGAGTGCTAGCAGTACGTGGCACGGATAATTATATAGATATAATTTAATTTTTTTAAAAAAGGGATTTAATAATCCGTCAATACTTCAAGCCTAGTCTTTAAAAAAATAAAATGTCCCGACAAGACTTGAAGCAGGGGGCATTTGTAATCATTTAAAATTTATTGACTATAAATTTATAAAATGATTCGGAATATATTAAATTCATAAATATATTAGCCCAAATAAATTATAGATTAATATAATTGGACTAATTATTCAAGTCCAATAAATATGAATTTGATTAAAGTCAAAATTAATTGATTTGGGCTATAGATGAGCCCAATTTGCTAAAGTCCAATGTCATCTTATCCTAAGAGGCCCATTCTTTTGGTGCCACATGGAAAATGACATGGCATGCCAAGTCAAACAGGAAGCGAATAGGATCATGACATGTGTCAAAGATGACAAGCCCGCTCCATAAAGCCCATATGTCATGTCACTTAAATCTGATTTGCCGAAGGGAATCCTGTTCCAATCGCAACTCCTCTATTCTAAAACTATAAATAGGTGGTCTTCATAATTCAGAAGAGAGACAGAAAATTCTAAACAAGAAGCTAGAGAAAATCCGTGGTACAAACGCCATAAAATTCTCTATAAAGCTACAAGTTTAAGAATTCAAGCATTTAAGTTCAAGAACGATCAAGATCAAGACTATCAGGTTCAAGAACAAGCTCGAAGCCCTTGAATTCAAGCAAAAGTCAAGATCAAAGATAAAGTTCAGAGTTCAAATTCATCAAAGATTCAAGATCAAGCTTTAAAGCCCTTGAATCATATTTGAAAAGGCGAATTCAGAGGAATCATAGAGATTGTAATACTCGCACTTTGAAATAATAAATACGATTGTTGCTATAATTTTCCGTTCTTGATTATTGTTTTCTCGACGCGAGTTTTATTGTCTACAGTGTATGTTGTATTTTTTCTTCTCTGTTTATTTTTTGTGTATATTATCTCTATTAGACTTCTTTAATTTAATTTTCTATGAATTTTTTATTGTTGTAAGTCTGCATTTTTTTTTAGGCTTAAATTAGCTATTTGTGACATTGTTGAGAGTTCGTTATCTACTAACTAAAGTTCAAAATTTATAGTTGGCTACTTAAAAAGAGTTAATTTTAAACATTAGAATACGCCCCCCCTCATTTGGTATTTTTCATATTTAAAAAAAATTATTTGAAAATATTGTATTTTATTACTCATTACATGCTATTTTAATCAGTTTAATAAATCAATAAAAAAAATCACACGGCACACACGTGCAATGTAGTGTTCGAAAACTAGTAAATTAATTAGTATGGATATGTGAAAATCAGATTAAAAAACAATAGAATTTGGTAGCACATTTGAAACGCATTAGGGACTTAGCAAGAAACTATGAGAATAAGACTTAGCAAGAAATCATGAGAATATTTCAATGACTATTTCTTGGGGAATTGATGGTTTTCTTTCCCCAGAATTCAACTTCGTCTCCATTGAAGTGTGTTGCTGAAGTGTGTATGTTTCTTGAGAAAAAATCACTTCTCTTCATCTTTATATCCTCTGTTCCACTGAAATATTTTAAAATCCTCTGTGCAATTTTCCAATTTGAAATCTAACCATGGTGTGAAGGAAGGATTGACAAACACAGTTGGAAATGTTTACAACAAATCAAATTGACAAACACTTCACTTGCGGTATTACATGTTAATAGAGGTGGAGGATCAACTAGCAATCATTAATTATGAACAATCGTCACGTGAATAAATCCATTTGTGGGTTGTAGGACACATTCAGAAAAAAGAAGAATGGGAGAGTCATATTATCGTGCATGTCTTGTGATGGACAGATTTTATTCATCCTCAACTTAGAGTCAAGTAATTTATGCTCGTGTTATGATGTCAAAAGACAGAGTTGGCAAAAATTAGAAATAAAGGGGCTTCTTACGAACCACTGCATCAGAGTTATTTATAGTTACGTTGAAAGACAAGTTATGTAGAAATTAAGTCTCTTTCTGTTCGAGAAATTTTTCGCAATTCATATATTATTTTTATTGCTTCTGGATATTAAGCATCATTAGTGTCAAATTAGTATCTAAATAAAAGTATATGCCAGTACAAATTTATTTACCCCTAGCCCTCCAAGTTAGACTTGTGAATTTTAAAGCAGACACATATCATTTGTTTTCCTTCAATATGGAACGACATAATTCCTGGACCTATGTCATCCTTCACGTCCTGTGATGGGGAGATTATGTTCGTCGTTAACTTAAAGTCGGGTGCTTTATGCTCGTGTTATGATGTCATTACAAAGATATAGAGAGAATTAGGAATCAAGGAGCTTCCCGAGAAGACCAATATCGAAAAGGATTAACAGTTATGTAGAAAGACTAGTAGACTTTAGTTTGTTTTGTTTGCACTTTGGCGTTTAATTAGTTGAAACTTGGAAACAAAGCATTAATAGCACGCAATCTTTCTAATTTGGCTTGTTATTGACAGAAAACTACTACTAGATCAACCGCTAATCTTCTTCATTCTGTGGTCAGTTTACTTCAACAGAAGAGTACAACTTCAAATTAGTACTAGTCTTTTATTTTCCTTTGAGGAAATACATAAAGTCCCCATTGAACTTAGACCCTATTTTGAAGTAGACACTTAAAGTTTGTGGAAGTCCTATTACCCCATTAAATTATTTTCGACCAGACTAAATATAACATTTTGACCCGCTTCCGCATCTGCTGTGTTTTCACGTTTTCGGGGCGCGTGAGTATTTTAAAAAATAATCCCAAACCAATATAAAGCAGCCATGTGGCATTGTAAATTGAAGTCTTTATTTTTAAAAAAAGACCCATCTTCCCCAAAATTAATTCAAACACCATTGACAGCCATTGAAGCTTGCTACAGTGTCACGGCGAGTAAGGACTGCAATATCTCTTTAACTTTGATTCACTTTCGCAAAATGAGTACTACATTAATCCATCAACAACCTTCGAATTTATGACTTTTCAATAAAACCCATTTTCAAAATATATAAATCACTACAAAATTCACTTACAATGTAAAATAAACTCTTTTTCAAAGAATTTTCAAATAACTAATCTATGAGCCTTCACTTCTTCGTTCCGACACCACTATTCAACAAATTTCAACCAGCAATGTTACCAACTAGCTTCGCCTCATGAAGTTTCTTAGGGTTTTGATCTGTCGAAGAGAGAGATGAGGGTAGGTGAAAGTGAAATGGGTTGGAAGTTTCTTAGGATTTGGGTTATGGGTTAAAAAATGAATGGGTTAGGATAAAACCCGGCCTTTGTTAAATGGGTTGGAGGTGTGGCACACGCTCTTGGTTTGAGAGCATTGATGGTGAAAAAGTGATATATTTATTATGCTTTTGAATGGTTTCGTGGGGTAATAGGACCCCCGCAAACTTAAGGTGTCTACTTAAAAAAAAGGTATTAGTTCCATGGGGTAACTATGTATTTCCTCTTTTCCTTTTTAAAGCTTTACAGACCTGTAAGTAATGTAAACTTTCTCACAAGTTAAAAATCAGTTAATATTGTATTTATCAAGGTACAGTTTCTTCGTTTCCTGAATTATTAATCAGATTTCAGTTGATTTGTCTCGTTTATGAATAATTTTAGGAAAATTTGTCTTGTCTACATGTGTTGTACTGGTAGTAAATGAGTAACTTAAAAAAACTAGAATCCTGAATTTATATAGTGGCACTGCCTCTATATATGGATGGTATGATGTGTAATTTGAATTTATGAACTAAAATATCAGGCATCCTTTGTGCACCGCCTTTTATATGGATCTAGTTTTACAGTTTCCTCTTGTAGGTCAGTTTATTAAATCCTATTGATCTCAAAAGTTTGCTATTATGCATACTAAATATGTCAGTGAACTAATAGGGCGTTTCATTTTAAGTTACAATGGGAGTATCGTTTTGAATTCAAATGCATATGCGGAACTCAAATGCAAGTGATCATATTCTTAGTAGCAATCGAGATTAGGAGAATTTTTGCCTGAGATAGAAGCTTGATATCACTGTGGGTCAGTGGTATCACCTAGCTAGTTATATATTTGGGGTGAGTTTCTGCCTTGAGTCGAGCAGAGCCATTTCAATTTATGCAAATACAGTGCATAAATATTTGTCTACCCGAAGAAAGTTGAATAGGATGGGACAAATGGATTCCTCTCAACAATCAAACACAAACCACAGTTTCAGTGTCTCCAACAATCAAACTTCAAGAGATCGAGTGGTTCTAACTTTAAAAGCAGTAGGAGGTGTCTATGTTGACTTTGTTAGTATCGGAGACAATCGTGGAGCCATTTCATTTGGTTCCTCTGTTTTTTCTAAGTAGAGTGATGGGATGAGTCTTTAGCAGTTAAGCTGAGGAAGTAGACAAAGGTATTTAAGTTTGTCCCAGGAAAAGTTCAGTACTACTGCTGCTATATATGCAGAGTACAAACTGAATTACTACGTGGAAACACGAATATTCAATTTTTACACATAACAATAGAATCCAATTTCTATATATATATTGATGAGAGTACTCACACCAATGGCACAGAATGCATACCAACAAAATCTTATCGTTAAATAAAACAATTCCTGAAAGGTTATATACAAGATATTTGGGTGAAACAGAAGCTAAGGATGAAAAGACATACAAGCACTCACGATGCCTTCCAGTTGTTTGAACATAATTACCCAAAGGGGACGAGACTTTCAACATAACAATAAATGCCACTGATGTTGCTTCCCTTAGGAAGCCCCTTGATTTTTAATACCCTCCAACTCTTTCTTGTGACATCATAACACAAACAACATAAATCACCTCGACTTAAGTACACAACGAATACAATCTCTCCATGACGGTCCATGAAGAATGATGCAAATCTAGGCTCTCTAGTTTTCCATATCGAGGGAACACCAATTATTTGTCTCTCCCATTCTCTTTTTGGAGTCTTCTCTAAAATCCACAAGTCAAAGTACCCACTGACCCATTTTCTGTAATCGATGACCCCTAATTTACCCTTCACCTCTATCAACCGGTAATAGTACACCAACTCAAGTGCAATCCACAATGCAATAATTTTGATTTTTTCAGATTTAACATCAAATGCAACTATAGATAAGTCATCGGGTATAGCAAACTGATAGATGACTCAACTAATGCAAACACTGGGCATATAATATGGAATACAAGGCAAAATGTGCTGACTGTCTCTCCATGATTTGTCTATGCCTAATGTGAAAACCCCGTATTTTGTGTACCTTTCTCGAGAAAGATGTGTTGTCAAGAGAACTTTGTACTTATTTTCTTTCGGCTCAAAACCTAATGAATATTTATTCCAGCATTTACTTTCAATTGGGTCGGGCAGAAATCTTACTTCTTTTGCGCTGGGATTGAAAATTGCAGCAGGTCGCATATTTGATGAATCCCAATCGCAAAATAAACCATTAACACAATCCAAACAAGAATATGCAGGGTCAGTAGGGACACAGTTGTAAAGACTATCAAATCCGTCAACTTGAAGAACCAAGGTAGAGGCTTTTCCATATTTCTTTTTCTTTTCCTCTGCAGTGTAATAAGCACTTACTCCGTGCAAAAGGAATTCTATCTCACCAGAACGACATCTATGGATATCCAAAAAATCTGATTCGGATACCATCGAATTACAAAATCTGGAAACACACTTGAAACGCATTAACGAATCAGAAGGAAGCCATGAGAATAATTCAAACATTATTTCTTGAGGAATTGATACTATTTTGCCGGCAGAATTCATTGTGTTTCGAATATTGAAGGCAGACGGCTAAAATTTACTGATGTTCTTTTTGCCTCGTTTCCGGTAAGACTTTTATTTATAATCTTTTTGCCTCTCTGTTTCCTTGCAAGACTCTTATTTCTTGTTGTTTTCTTTCTAGTACATTAGAATTAGGATTGCCAAAATATTGAACCTTTTTTTTTTTTTAAAATCCTAAACACAATATTATTGGGAAAAAATTGAACCTTTTTTTTTTTGGGTTTTAAAACCCTAACCACACAATATTGAGTTAGGGGCACGATTTTATTAGAATTCTTTTGGCCTTAAACCTCTTTTCAATCATCAAGATGAGTTGAGACTAGTTGTTTATACTCTCTTCGTTTTAATTTGTTTATCTGGTTCTGACCTGATAGAAAGTTTAATCTGACCCACCCATTTTTTCATCATATGATGTTGTTTCATTAAGCATTTGAGTTTTACAAGTTCAATCTTGTGCTACTACTAAGGACTATGATATGAAAAAATAAATTATTCGACTGATAAACAGACACGAGACACAACTTATTTTAGTTACCGAGTTCTAAAATATTACTGTACAGATTCATGATGGTGTTTCATTAAAAGATTTAAGAAACATCAGTAAACCATGGACCAAAGTTTGTTTTGTTAACTGAACCAGTACCACATGCAATTGATTCACATCGATGGTGATGATTAAGTACTTGCTAACTATCAGAAGAAGATGAGGAAAACTATAAAAGCAATAGAGGTGTCTATGTTGACTTTGCCAGCATCGGAGACAATAGTGGAGTCATTCCATTGGTTCCTCTATGATGGGATGAGTCATTTCATTGCTCAAACTAGGAAAATTTCCCAAGTATTGTTTAGTACAAGTAGAAAAAAGAAAATAGAAAGAGGGAGTGCCAAGAGGATTTAAAATGCATATTCCGAAGAAGGGAGGCAAAGGCTTTTCCGTCTTTCTTTTGCTCCGAACTCCACAGTATAAACTCTTGCTCCCATGCAGAAGCAATTTTGTTGTTAAGATGAACCTTAACACCCAAGTCCATGGAGTTTGTTTAGAATCTCCTTTCCTCGTATCTTATCCTATAATAAGATAAGAGGTAAGAACCACGAAAGACTGTATATGAATAACCCTTTTCAGTTCCAATGCACGTAATCGACCCACACAGAAAGAAAGAAAGAAAGAAAGAGTGCAGCTCCCTGACTCGATTAATGTAGAGCAAGGAATTGAACAAACATCATCAATTTAAATGGAATTGCTAATGATCACAAAGCTCTTCTTGAACATATTGCTACTATCTTTTTTGTGCATTTCTTGCCTCTTAACTGATAGAAAGACATAAGATGGTATGAGTATTAGTCACCATATAAAGATTTTGTAATTTAGCCTTGAACGTATGTGCAACACACGTGCCCAAAACTAGTTATCATAAATGTATGGCAAGAAAATACTTACGAGTATTCTAACTAGCATGCTATCATATTGCTTAGGATTTAATTTAGAATTATAAGTTAGAGACATATAAATAGTATAATAATAAAAACCTGAAACGTTTATGCCTAGTAAAGTATCATAACAATACCTAAAGCAAGTAATGTATACAATAATTAAATTGCAGATCACTGACTTATGAAAATCCTTTTAGAGAAGTTATAAACATATAAATGTATACCTGACTCAGAAATAAAAGTTATTAACTTTTAGGAAAAACGATAATCCCAAATTAAGTAGGTCTCAATTGGTTAGAGACTCGTGTTGATAACATGTTGTGAAATGAGAGAAAAATACAATAATATACTAAGCAAGAAAGGAAGACAAATGGTAATGGAAAGTATAGAGTAGAGAGTCTTACATAATCTCTTCAAGTGTGTCTTTCACAAGGGTGAAGAATACCCTTTTATAGGATGTAAAATCCATCCGTTTACAATCTTTAACCACATACGTTAGTACATCTTTAAGAGATACATCAAATAGGTACATTACGTTAGATATAGATTAAAATAAACACTCACACAATTTAATGGATTTGTAACAAGTATTAAATAAATTATAGTTTAACATAATTTATTTTTAAAAAAAATACAATCTTTAAATATTTGACCTTAATTAAATTTATTATTTTATATTTCGTACATCGAAATATATTTTTATAATTATTATAACCTCTAGACTATGACCGAAATTCCAGAGACATACCTTAACTAAACTAAGGTCCTATTACCCCTCGAACTCATTTAAAAAAAAATAATTTTATACATATTTTGAATTACGTGGCACACTCTGTGACTCCACATTAATGAGAGTATCATTTTGAATTCAAATGCATATGCAGAACTCAAATGCAAGTGATCATATTCTTAGTAGCAGTCGAGATTAGGAGAATTTTTGCCTGAGATAGAGGCCTGATGTTACTACGGGTCAGTGGTATCAGCTAGATAGTTATATTTTTGCGGTGAGTTTCTGCCTTGAGTCATTTATTTGGTTCCTCTGTTTTTTTAAAACCCTAAACACAATATTATTGGGGAAATAATTGAACGTTATTTTCTCTTTAAAAAAAATTTAAAACCCTAACCACAATATTGCAAACAATTTAGTTAGGGGCACAATTTTATTAGAATTCTTTTGGCCTCAAACCTCTTTGCAATCATCAAGATGAGTTGAGATTAGTTGTTTATACTCTCTGTACTTTAATTTGTTTATCTGGTTTTGACCTGATAGGAAGTTTAAGCATTTGAGTTTTACAAGTTCAATATAAATTATTCGACTGATAAATAGACATCAAACACAACTTGAATCTATCATTCACGATATGTTAGGGATTAATTCAAGGCAAAATCTGTAGTTACCGAGTTTGAAAATATTTTTGTACAGATTCATGATGGTGTTTTATCAAAAGATGTAGAAACATCAGTAAACCATGGACCAAAGTTTGTTTTGTTAACCGGCAATTGTAGCTTCAACAATTGATTCTCCAGTTAAGGTCATGCATGACAATATAGATTATATAAATGAACATCAACATGTCGAAGTTAATGATGAAATAAGCAAGGAATATTCGATCAAAATCAGCACAATCTCAATCATGCTTTGAACGTGGCAGATTTATCTCCAGATGTTCAGTCAAAAGGGAAGAAAAACAGGAATAATGCTGAAACGAGTAAGACCACAAGAACTATCTAGATCCATTATAAATGGGTCAATAGTATAGATCAATAGTATGCTTTGGTGCCGAAAAAAGTATCAATTCCTCAACAAATAATATTTGAAATATTCTCATGGCTTCCAATCGAAGCCATCAAATCGTTAATACACATTTTCAGATTCTGTAATTCTCTTATATCTAAGTCAGATTTTGTGGATATTCATTGTTGTCTTTGTATGACCCCTTCATGGTGGAACAAATTTCTTTCTCCATTTAATGGAAGCTTTTTACGCTACTGAGCAAACGGAACATAGAAATATCTCTACCTCCCTTTTTCAAACAGAGAGATTTGATGGACTCTATAGGTGTTCAAATTCTTTGTTGGATTTCATTAATGGTTTATTTTGCATTTGGAAACCATCATTTATGCGAGGTGCTGCAATTTTCAATCCTATAGAAGAGAAGTAAGATTTCTTCCCGATCCAAATAAAGGTATTCTTGGCATAAGTATTCATTAGGCTTTGAGCCAGAATAGAAGAAATATAAAGTGTTTTTGTCAGCAACACAATAAGGGTACACAAAACAATGGGTTTTAACTTTAAGCATAGATAAATCGTGGAGAGAGACTCAAAGCATTACTCATTCTACTCCGTGTTGGGTTCGAAAGAGATTAGGACATCATGCAGAAGCTTACAATTGCAAATCATATGATTAACAAATCAGACAACAAATAAAAGTATACTTAAAGACATAATATTATTATATGATATGACCAATTGTCCTACCTATTTAAAAACTAATTAAAAGAATAAATTGTCGAGAGAAAATCTCCCAATAGCAAAAGTCTCTAAATGACTACATTGTGGATTCTATTGTGTTATGCTATGAGAATAGAGATCTTCAATTTATTGATCTCCAAACTTTTCCTTTAAGGAAAGAATAAACCAAATATGGAAGAAAAATATATTTTCATTTCAGAAAAAGTTCAAGCATTTATGGTAATACTTTGACTTTTCTTTAAAAAAAAAACTTCAAATAAGGAAAGAAAATCAAGGTGAAACCCTAACAAATCTCCCTTTTTGACTGGATTTTCTTGACAAAACTTGATCCAGTTAAGATGCATGATAATCTTCGTTCTTCACATAGTCTTCATCACTACTGCTTGTCATGGTTAAGAATAAAGTTTTAAATATATGGGTTAAAAAGGATTTAAAAATATTTTATTTTTATTTTCAAAGATGTAGCAGCAGCAAGAATGTTGAAAATATGGTTTAAATCTCTTATCTACATGTAACTGGACAAAAATCTTCATTATTGTCAAATTTATTGCATATTGATTTGAAACCGCGTTGAACCTGTCTTCAACCTCGTTCCATTGGATCATTAAACCATGTGATCTGATACCACTTGTTGGGTTAAAAAATAATTATAACGTCATTCGGAAGCTTACAATTGCAAATCATATGATTAACAAATAAGACAACATATAAAAGTATACTTAAAAGACATAATATTATTATATGATATGACCAATTGACATACATATTTAAAAACTAATTAAAATCATAAGACTGTAGAGAGAAAATCTCCCTATAAGCAAAAGTCTCTAAACGACTACATTGTGCTCATGGCACTCTGGCTAAAGGGAAGATGCTGCCATATTGATCAGGGCTATTTTATGGCAAAGGAGCAGGTCCTCTCGCAAGGTTAGTATCACCTTATTATGTGAGTTATTTCCTAGTGGTCACTTGCCATGTGTCATCTCCTTGTCTTTCGTGTCAGTAACAAATGTTTTTTCATTTTCAAAATCCAAGGGTAGCTCTTGTTCATAGACCGATTCAAATGATAAAAAGACAT